CTTCAGCACTGGGGGTTTCAGACCCCCCTATCCTCTGTGAGCAGTCAGGTCAGCTTCAGCACAGGGGCTGTCAGACATCACTCTTGTCCTCTCAGATGCTGACCCAGCTAATATTATTTATATTTATATATTGTTCTAGGAACATTTACTGAGCGTTACCATTAAGGTTCAAAGTGTCCAGCTTTCCAGATATTCCCAAAATGTTATCCAACTACTATAATCATTACCACAACTTCGACTAATAATACAAAAACAGAGGGCACAGAAGAGCAGGGGGTAGCACTGCACTCACACTGCCAATGCCATGGGTTTGAGGCTGCATCAGAAGTATACACATCTTGTACTCTTTTTAAAATAATAGTTTTTTAATAAAGCAATATTTTTCAACATTATATTTAAAATATGGTCAAGTAATGTTACTGGGTTAACACTGACAGAAGCTTCGTTACTCAAAATGTAAAACGCTGAAATAACGTTTCATTAAGGTTAGATAGAGCATTCTCTGCAAACTACATTAGCTAAAGTTCTGGGAACGTTCCCTGTTAGCTGAGAAAGCTGCGGTAGGACTTCCTGTCTTTAAAGGCTGCACTCTTCACTGAGGTGGAGGTCCAGCCTGAACATTATGCCTAGCAGAGGTGTGGTTAATGTTCCGGGCTGAACAGCCAGTCAGAGGCCAGGCTGCATTAGTTCAGGGAGCCCATTTAAACAGAGACTGTTGTTGTTAAAAGACACTGCCCTCTAGTGGCAGATGGTAGCAATGGCCCTTAAAAGGCAACACTCCACCAGGTACATGTTATGCATCTGTAAATGTAAATTACTAAACCAGCCTGCTGCATGGTGCAAAGGATCATCGTGAGTCACTGAGCTGCAGCTGAGAGTTGTGGCTTTGAGGGCATCAGTGACGTGCACAGACTTTTTGGGGCATGGGGGCTTCAACAGGGGGCTGTCAGGAGATCCTGTCAAGATTTCACGTGACTGTCAGTTATTGAAGGGACATTGGGGGGGTGCTCAGGTACCTCCAGCGCCCCCCTCAGCATAGTCCTGCTCACTAGCCCTCAGAAGGTAAAGGGGGCTTCATTCCTCACAGCATAACCAGCACATCCACATCACAGGTGACTTTTGGCACAGTAGCAGAGCAGTATAAGGCACAACAGGGATAGGAAGTGAGGTTCTCAGATGGTAAGCAGGACGGTCCTTGAGCTTAAAGCTCTCCAAGAATGAAGAGGATGGGGATTTGAAAGGTAACGTTTATTGCCATGAATACACTGCCTGCGTTTAGTGACATGCTGGACAGCCCTACTGTGCAGAGGCTTCATCTCAGCTCAGTCACTCAGAGGAGCAAACAGCAGAACTGTGGCTCTGCCACAATCACAGCAAGTCTGCTTCCTCCCCCCACGCGGCTCAGTCAGGACCTGCGGGGCTTCCTCAAACAGCCAGAGGCTGGGCATAGTGTCCTATCAGAACAAGACCCGTCACCTGGGCTATAACCCCCGTTAGTGAGCGGAACACTTCAGAGGGTACTGATGACGTCATATGAACAAGTTCACAGTAATGAAAAGACTAACCTTGCGATTCATGATTAGACAGATAATGATAAATCAACAGAAAGTAACAGGATACATACGACCTCATTCGCTACATGCCACAGCTCCAGCCTTTGGTAATGAACACTTCAAATTTTAATTAATATAAATGAAATGAAAGGAGACCCATCAGAGTTTCCCAGAGAACACAAAATGTTCACCCATACAAAAATATCCTTTAAGCAGGAATACTATGGTTTAGGGACCGGGGAACTGCTTCCACATGCTAATAACACAAGCGAGAGCTCCACTGAGTGTGTCACCGTCACAGGTGGCGACCGACCCTCCCGCTGGTCCTCGACACGGTGTGTTAGTCCCGGGAGCCACAGCAGCTGCTTCGTTATGACATCACCCCCAGAAGGGCCTCGTCGCCAGCCCCATTGTCCTCGGGACTGTCACAGGTGGAGATGATGCCCAGGCCGAGCTCCACCAGCTCCTCCTGCATGGTGCTGGGCACCATGATCTTGGGCTCCAGCCGGTTGCAGAGGGTTCTGTAGGAGGGCAGTGGGTAGCCTAGGTCGCGCAGGAACTCGTATCCCTTCACACCCACGGCGCAGCGGATCTTTCGGGCAGTCAGCACCGTGTCCTGGGACCACACGGCCCGGCGTGAGCGCTTAGCCAGCGTCAGAGCCCGGATCTGGTCTTCGAACAGGAACATCTGCAGACCTTTCTCCATTTTGTTAAGCTTGTGGAGCTTCTTCCTCATCTCCTCAGCCTGGAAAGAAAAGCGACACAGCTAACTGAGACGGAGGGCGTCAGGTCAGCAACATGCGGCTCCACGGTGGTCTGTGAGGTGTGAGTTCAAAAGGGTGTGGCTTGTAAGAGGCAGGGCACACAGCCTGACCCACCTCCTTCTGCAGTCGGGCCGTGTGCAGCTGCTGCTGTTCCAGCTGTGCCTTGTACTGCTGGCATTGAGCGCAGGCACGCTCCACGTCCTGCCGCTGGGTCCCGCCACCGCCGCCCTCGGCCTCCTCCGCCTCGCTTTTGGGCTGCCTGCGGGCGTAGCCGTGATCGCCTAGATTCTGCTCCTTTTCTGCTATGGAACCACCACCACCATCATTACCTTCAACATCACTCCTATTGAGCTGCTTAAACTGCTGCTTGCCACTCTGACGGTTGGATGTCAGTGACACGGTAGCAATGGGGGCCACTCACCCTGCTCTCGCTTGAGTGGCCCGCTCACCGCTGGGCTGATGGGTGATGGGGGGTCAGGAACGTTGAACAGCGTGGGGATGGCGTTGGGCTTCAGCTTGCGGCCTCCTGCCGGGGACCTGGCGATCTCCTCAAACTGGCTCTCCTCAAAGTGGTCCTAGGCACCAGAACGGGTTCAGTCAGCAGCCAGCCAAGCTAGAAAGTCTCTGGAGGACCCTGGCTGGCCCCAATGGAACCCCCACAGTCCCTAGCTGACCCCTGCAGAACCCCCACAGTCCCCAGCTGACCCCTGCAGAACCCCCACAGTCCCCAGCTGACCCCTGCAGAACCCCCACAGTCCCCAGCTGACCCCTGCAGAACCACGACAGTCTCCAACTGAAACCTGCAGAACCCCAACGAAGCGACGCTTGAGGCTCACCTGACAGAGTCTGGAGCACGGCGTGGGCACGAAGTCGCGCCGGCAGTTTATGACCCATTTTCTCATGCGTACCGGGTCCTTGGGGAAGCGGAAGAGCTGCTTGCCGATGGTGGTGGAGTTGGAGCAGTTCGGAGCCGAGCATCCTCCCATGGCTGGGCCGTCTCTGCCAGCCCGCTGTGCGGGGCTCCTAAGCAGCGGGATTCCTGAAACTTGTAAGGTATGTCCGTCCGGAAGACGCTGTGAATCAGGGCGGCTCAGGCCAGAAACTTGGCCCCCGGACCGCCGGAGAGCACAGGCTCCGTCTGAAGGAGAGTGTTATAGGATGCGATATGATCAGAAAGGTCACTACCAGCACAGCAGTAAAAACATGACTTTGTTTTGAGCCAAAATGGCGTCTCGGCTCGGCGGCCGCTGTAGTGACGTCGGTGGCAGAGGCTGTCCGCGGCAATGCCTGTGAAAAATGTCACATGAACCTGAAGTTACGCTTTTAAAAACATCATCTTCAGGAAAAACAGTGAATAAATTCGGTTCGAAATTATCTGGCGCCAAAACTAAAGTACAAGGCGATAGAAATAAACTGCCCAGCGTCTTCAAAGGCACTGTTATCCGCGAGGGGCGGCCGTTTGGACGCGCTTCTCTCCTTCCAAATCGTTCTGTCCACAAAGCAGCGTTTATTTATTAAAAGTGCGCGGGCAGACGCGGTGCAAGGGCTTGCTGTCTTTCATTTGTTTTAACTACAGGTCTGTTTTAATTAGAGTTGTCCGTCTGCCCGGTTATTAAGGATTGCATATCTATATAGCTGTTTGCCGCATGTGTAGTACGGCGGAGTGGCTTCTCTTTCACCTTCTGATCCCGAAGCACACGGTCCGGGGAAATGACCGAGTCCATGCTCGTCCCTGTCATCGATGTGCAAGATGATAACTTCACCGAGCTGTGGCCGGCCATAATTCTGGCGTTGAAAACCTCCTCTTTCATTGCCCTGGACACGGTGAGTTTCTTCATATTATCTGGAGTCATAACTGTAAATGGAAATAGATCTGGTATTGAGAAAGTAACCATGCAGTGCTTTCCTTTGGCAGGAACTGAGCGGGCTGGGAAACAGGAAGGCGCTGCTGGCAGAGTGAGACTGCAACCGGCATATTTTCTTATCTATCCCTTTTTATAGCAGACCTGTACATGTGCAGTTTATTTTAGAAACCAGTCACTGAAATTAGGTGTGCAAATACCAGAGACAGACACCTGAACCCATGCAGTTACACTGTTCAACTCCTGCAGACGTTTGATTTATGATTGCATTTACTTTAGGTGCATCGAAGACCGGTACAAGGCTGTGTGCCATGCTGCTCGAACCCGATCCATACTTTCCCTGGGACTGGCTTGTTACAAAAAGCAGGAGAATAAAGTGAGTTTCCAGCCAGGGTTGATTAAATGATCTCTTTCCACTTGTGGCTGCTACATGTGTCTGTGCTGGTCCTCCTTTCCAGGCAGATGATACCTACCTGGTGCAGGTGTATAACCTGACCCTTCTCTGCATGGATGAGTATACCATAGAGCCCCAGTCAGTGCACTTCCTGGTGCAGCATGGGTTCGACTTCAACAAACAGTACGCCCATGGCATCCCTTACTATAAGGGCAACGACAAGGTAAGGCTGCTGCTTTGCTATGCTGTGCCTGAGAGCATCGTGCTGGGTACCTGTCATTAAATCAGGGCAGCTTCCTGATGGGTTATTCCATATCAAAATTACCCAGAGGGCCCCAGATCACACTCCGATTCCCCTGAATACATATACAGGTGCTCCTATATCAACCTTATGGAGAAATCCCACATATTAGGTCTGTATCTCTAATAGTTTTCTACTGAAAAAGTTAATCCTAGTCACAAAGTTTCAAAGCTGTACTTGTCATATCAAAGGAACGATGAATGGTGGAAGTTAGACTGAAAGGCCCGTTGGGCAAATGCATAACATTTATTTAAATTTCAAAGGGTCGAGTTTCTAAACTACTAGAGATGCAAACCTAATATTTAGAATTTCTCCATAAATTTGGTGTAGGAGCACCTGTGAATTTTTTCAGGGGAGTATGAGAGGGTGAGCTGAGAAACTGGCCGATTTGCTATGGAATGACTGATGTTTGTCTCGACCCTCTGACTGAGTGGAGTTCCGTGGCTAATTGCTTCTTTAGTAAACAGTGTGTTAGTGCTGAGTTTCTGGCTAATCCTTGATCATTATCAGTTAGTGCAGTGCTTTGTTTGGGAATGTTGCCTGGCTTATCTCACAGTTAACCTGCCCCTGCCCTGTCCCACAGGGAGGCGAGGTCCACAGACAGAGCATACGCACCCTCTTCCTGGAGCTTCTACGGGCCCAGAAGCCATTGGTGCTGCACAATGGGCTGCTGGACATGGTCTTCCTGTACCAGTGTTTCTATGCTCACCTCCCCGAGCGCCTGGGCACCTTCACGGCCGACATCTCACAGATGTTTCCTGCTGGCGTCTTTGACACGAAGTACCTGACTGAATATGAGCTGCGCTTTGCTGCCTCCTACCTGGAATATGCCTTCAAGAAGTGGTGGGTGCGCCGCGGACGAGCGTCTGTACAGGCTGCCATGACTGACAAACCATATAATCCCACATTTCATTGAAAATAGAACAAAGAGATATCAGATGTTGAAACTCAAATTTTGTTTTATGACAAATATATGCTCAGTTTGAATTTGATGCTAGCAAAACATTTCAATAAAGTTGGGACAGGGGTTTGTTCACCACTGTGCTGCATCGCTTCTTTTACCAGCACTCTGTATAGGGCTGGGCGATATCATATATCACCAGGGCTTCAGATGACAGACGAAGCATTTGGTCGTGTGCCAGCTTTTTGGTGAAATATGGACATTTATTTACGCCCACAATTTAAGCAGTTTAGTAGTATGGCTAAAATATTAATGAGGCTTTGTATGACGTCCAACAGTCATTATTAGTATAAATACGGCATATCCTTATGTTTAATAAATGTGTCAGAATTTGAACTGCAAAAAGTACCACCGCACCACCGATGTCTTTTTACGTTGTTTATCCACAAGATCTCCTCTTTTAAAAGATATCGTGGCTGCTCTTCTTCACCGCGACTTCAGTGCATATTGCACTGAGGTATACCAAACCGTAGTATACCAAACCAGTATTATGTGGGGTGCTCCGCTTATCGAATTTAAGAAACATAAAGTTTATACAGATTACTAACTTTTGGGTATCACAAAACAAATCTCATTAATATTTTAGCCATACTACTAATCCTCTTACCAAATTATGGGCGTAAATTAATGTCCGTATATCACCGAAAAGCTGGCGTCCGGCCAAATGCTTCATCTGAAGCCCTGGTGATTATTGCGCATGCGTGATATGATATCGCCCAGCCCTAACTCTGTAAACGTTTGGGAACTGAGGAGACCAGTTCCTGGAGTTTTAGAAGTGAAATGTTGCCCAGATTTCAGCTGCTCAACAGTTCGGGGTCTCCTTTGTCGTGTTTCTCGTTTCATAATGCACCAGATGTTTTCATTGGGTGACAGGTCTGGACTGCAGGCAGGACAGACTAACACCTGGACCCTTCTACTGCAGAGCCATGCTGTTGTAATACACGCAGAATGTGATTTAGGATTGTCTTACTGAAATATGCAAGGCCGTCTCTGACAAAGACATCTGGATGGCAGCATATGTTGCTCTAAAGCCTGTATATGTCTTTCAGTATTACTGGGGCCATCCCAGATGTACAGGCTACCCAAGCCATGGGCACTAATGCACCCCCATTCCATCACGGATGCTGGCTTTGGAACTTCCGCTGATAACCTCCCTTCTTTAGCCCGGAGGATGTGGTGTTCAGGGTTTCCAAAAAGAATTTGAAATTCTGATTTGTCAGACCACAGGGCATTTTTGCCTCAGTCCATCATAAATGAGCTTGGACCCAGAGAAGTTGGTGGCGTTTCTGGGTCATGTATTACATATGGTTTGTTCTTTGTGTGGTAGAGGTTCATCCTGCATTTGTGGATGCAGTGACGAGCCGTGTTCACAGACAATGGTTTTGGGAAGTGAGCTGTGCCCATGCAGTGATTTCCACTATAGAATCGTGTCTTTTTAATGTAGCGCTGCCTGAGGACCCGAAGATCATGGCAATCCGGTTTTGGTTCTTAGCCCTGTGGACAGAGATTTCTCCAAATTCTTGGAATCTTGATATTATGTACTGTAAATGATGATTTTTTTTGCAATATTACATTGAGGAATATTATTCTTAAATTGTTGCTATTTGCCCATGCTGTCTTTCCAGAGTGGTGAGACTCTGCCTCTCTGGGAGGCTCTTTTTATACCCAGTCATCTTACTGACCTGTTGCCAATTAATCTAATTAGTTGTGAGATACTCAACCAGGTGTTTTGTTTTAGCATTACGCAGCGTTTCCAGTCTTTTGTTGCCCGTCCCAACTTTTTTGAAATGTTGCTGGCATGAAATTCAAATTGAGCATATATTTGTCTTTAAACAACAGCATTTCTCAGTTTGATATGTTGTCTTTGTTCTATTTTCAATTGAAGATGGGCTTATATGATTTGCATTCTGTTTTTATCTACATTTTATACAGCATCCCAACTTTTTTGGAAATGGGGTTGTACCAGGTCTGATTTGATGCATTAACAATACAATCATTTTGTCTTGACCTTGGGGCAGCAAACTGGAAAACAGCAGGTGTGTGCAGGCTGGCAAAGATGGAACCCACCTTTACCTGGAGTTCTGCAGCTACTCGGGGAACCAGTGCAACTATGTGGACTACAGACCGTGCTGCGAGCAGCCTGCGAGTGCAGAGGCACAGAGTGTCTGCCCTCGCTTCTCGGTGAGTGCCAGGGTCCATCACAGAAGGTGTAGAGATGGGCATCAGTTGGTGGTGTTAAGCCCCACCCACCATGTGGGTGTGGTGTAGCTCCCCCCAGACAGTGGGTATACAGTATCCAGCGCCACAGCCGGGAGCCAAGTGGGAGGGGTTTATCAGTAAGGGTAGGAGGGGTTTATAATGAGGGTAATTGTTAGGGTCTCATAACAGGTGGCCTCGTTATAAGCCCCTCCCACTTGACTCCTGGTTCCAGCGGTATGCCTCTCCCAGACAGTGCCGCCCGCATGCTTAACATCCGGCAGTTTCTTCAGCTGATGAGCGCTTTGCCTGTGGCCCCTCCCACAGGCCTACGGGTGGTGCCCCAGCGGCACAGCGTGCAGGATGTCACACAACACAGACCTCATCATCCAGCAGGACGAGAAGAAGAAAAGGAAACGCAAAAGGAAGGCGGGGCGAGGGGCGAGTCCCCACAGCAAGCAGCCATGTGACGGGGATGGAGATATCACGCCAGAGGGGCCCGGGGCTACAGAGGGGCCTCCTGGAGGGAACGGGGCCCCAGTCATGCAGGCCACTCCCCCCACGCAGAAGGTGGAGGAGGGCACCCACCGTGCCGGGTTCGACGCTTTCATGACAGGCTACATATTCGCCTACACGGGCACCCTGGGGGCCACCAGCGGGCCTGAGCTGGGGGGCAGCAGCGTCAATAAACTGTACCTGAGTGGCAAGTCGGTGCCATTGCACATCGTCAAAAGCTCGTTCTGCAAATCGTCAAAGGCTCACAGCCTCAAGATGGAGTTGGTGTGGGGAGTGGGAGGCCAAAGCTGACCCCCCCCCCCATCTTCCTTTTAATGAATGTACTGAAGAGTGTTTTTTTTGTATACTGTTCTGAACAATACTGTATACTGTACAATAAAAATATTTTTCTGTGGTTTAGCTGGTGTCTAGGTGCAGAAGAACCTTGCCAAGGGGAACTGTTCAAGTTACTTGTTTTCGATCTGTGGCGTATTTACCTTCCTAAAGAGCAAACCCCGGCTGACGAGGGAACCCCCTACAGCAGTGACAGGAAGCGCTTTCCGAAGCCCCTGACATAAAGGCCAGCAACTTACTTTATTTTAAACCAACAGTAATGCACTTAAGCTTACAAGGTCCTGTAAAAAGCCAGGTGTACGAAACGGTCTGGGTCTCCAAGGTCTTTGGCGTGAAGGAACACTTCTGGTAGAAAGGAAAGCCGGTGTTTATCAGAACAAAGGAGTCGGTAAGAAAGCACAAACAAATGTGTCTTACCACGCTCTTTAGGGCTTGTTCTTAACAGGTATCAAAAGACGACTAGCAAAACATCTCATAAATATCAAAATAGATCCTCTCTTCAAAAGTTTTCAGTCAAGTAACCTGGTGCAGTAATTTCATTGCATAGAAATGTAGTGACACACTGAACATGACTTGGCGTGATCAAGCGCACGCACCTCCCTGCATGGCGGCATCCATAGGTGTCTCTGGCTGCCCCTGTGCACAGCCCTTTTGAGGGGGGGGGGGGTCGTCCACTTTCCTCACTGACATCCCACTACCGCCTCCATACAACTCCTTTAACTTGCATACTATGTGCAAAAGCCTGCCTAGGGGCCGTATCTGAAAGGGGCAGTGAGGAGGGCTCGCACTCTCTCTTCCTCTCGGAGTGTTCTAGAAGTCACTGTTTCAGGGGATAGCCTGTGGGCCGGGAGACACAACAGGCAGGCTGCAATCCTTCTGTGCGGGTGAGCTGCCGGCCTCCACAAACAGGCAGAGGTTGAGGGCAGCCTTCTCTGGACCAAGGACCCTCGCTCCGGAGCCTTGGTGCTCCGATGCCTCCTGGTTCTCAGCCTCCATGTCTTCGCAGGTCCAGGTTCTGTCAGAGGTACCATTGGGGGCCTCGGCCGGGAGGAAGAGCTCCTCCTCTTCAGTAGTGGTGCTGCTGGAGCAGTCCATTGCCTCACTGTGGTCGCCAGACATAGAAAACCAGCTCTCTTCGTCGTCGTCCTCCTCCTCAGGCCTGGCCCGATAGGGCGGGATCTCCGGCACAGCATACTTCCACGCCCAGTTGGCCGGGACCTTCTGCCTCCCGTCCGGGCCCTGCGAGCCCTGGTCCCACCTAGGGGCGAAGCGCAATGCGTCCCGGCCAGGCAGCTGGGGTGACACGGGCAGCGAGCGACAGCGGCGACCGGAAAGCTGTGAGGGGACCCCCCCGCTGGCGCAGGAGTGTAGATCAAACATCAGCGAGAAGACGGACTTGCTGGGTACGTCGAAGAACTTGATCTTGCCTCCCTTGAGGTCCTCGCGGGCGCTGAAGGGGTTGACCTTGCGGGCATTAGATGCGGCCCGTGCTCCGGGCTTGTAGTGAGGATCCTGCACGTCCACCTTGTGGCCTGGCTTGCGGGAGAAGATGTCTGACTGGCTGCGGGAGAGCCAGATGTTGCGGCGGGGGCGGGGGGACTTGGGCAGGATCTTGTCATCCTGCAGCTCCATGGGGATCAACCTCTTCACAGCCTGCACCTTCTCCCCTGGGCCTGGAGGAGGCAGCAGAGGGTCTTACACGTGGGTCACACTGTGGTGTTGCTAATGCAGCTGGCTCATTACTGTAGGCATTAGAAATGACTGCTAACTGGACCAATCAGGAGGACACAAACAAGCAGACCAATCACATGGCCAGACCCTGACCTCTGACCCTGAAAGCAGTGGGCTCAGGCAGGGTCCAGGTATCTACCCAGCAGGAACTGCACCCCCACGGTATGGTGGGGACCCCCGAAGCCTCTCAGTCTCAGACCCAAATGCGGGGAGACTTGGGCAGTGTGGTGCCCACCTTTGGAGACGGCCTTCCACTCGCCGTCCATGACTGCCGCCTGCATCTGCTCCGATTCCGCACATTTCAGCCGCTCCAGGATCTCCTCCAGATTCCTCACGATGTCGGCGAAGGAGGGCCGCAGCCTGGGGTCCATCTATAGGACATTGTAGGGGGGGCATGGGTGGGTGTTGTCTCACATTACTCAGACATCAAATGTTCTGCAGGCAATGTGAACCCTTAGCACCTCTGAATACCCAAGGCCTTGTGAGAGGTGCTGCTTGAGTGTGTGTGTGTGTGTAGGGCCGCCCAATTACATTGCAGCAGTTGAAGGCCTGCTGCAGGAAGTCAGGTGGACAGTCCCCAACCATGTTCTGGAAGGCGTGGTAATCCAGGCCAAAGTTCTGCCAGAAAGCAAGGACAGAGGTCAACACCAGCAGGCTGGGGGTCAGAAAAGACTCGGCACAGCAGCTACTGTATGTCAGCATGTGATCACACTATCTGCAGTGCCCCCCACTGGTGTACATGCTAGTAACTGGGGGGGACGTACCTCAGTGCGAGGAAGGTAATCGGGATCGGCCTGGATGCGGGCGATGATCTCACAGAGGATGATGCCGTAGGAGAAGATGTCGGCCTGGAGACGCGGGTTAGAGGCATGAGCATCACGGAGCCATTGTGAGACAACTGCAGTGTCATTGAGAAGCAGGAGGCGCCGTGACATGGGTACATGTGTGCGGCACGTGGACAGGCACAGAGCCATTACAGAGCCTCGCTTTATGTTTTTGGTTTCTTCTGGCCCGTGACATCAGATCCTGACCTTCTCATTGTAGGGTTCGTCCCGCAACACTTCCGGGGCCATCCAGAAGGGGGAGCCCACCACCGCCAGCTTCTCCCCATCAGAGCTGGTGGAAAAGGGGAGCAGAAAGGTCTTAGAGCATGAGCCTGTGCAAGAAGTGCACCCTGCCACCTAGTGGACAGCCCAGCTTAGCACTGGCACCAGCACGGCTCAGCTAAGCTGCGGATGTGCCAGGAGGGGGTATCCTGGCCCTGTCTTGTATTATTACTGCTCTTGGATGAACAGAATGTTCTGGGAGGGGCAAGGGGTGTCACAACACAGCTGCTCTGTCATGAAACTTTAGCAAACCTCCAGCCCCACGTCAGACTGCTGTGGGGGGGATGAGGGCCCGGCTCTGGCAGGCTGCCATGCTCCGTAAATTGTTAGATATTAATAATCCCAAAGTAACAGGACTCTGCCGCTGTGTGTGACAAGTACTAAGCTCTGGGCAAAGGCGGCTGGGAGCCTAGGAGCTGCCCAGGAGGTGAGCTGTCCAAGATGAAGCTGGGGTCAGGTGCAGAGGAGGGCTTACTGAACCAGGCCTGCAAGTGAGGTGTATTCCACATGACACACACACACACACACACACACACACACACACACACACACACACACACACACACACACACACACACACACGCCTGCTAACCCATGCCGCATGGGAGAACATGCTCTGCCACACCCTGCCCAACCACGCCTTGACCAGGCCCATATCGCAGATGACCACGCCCCACCCAGTCAGGCCACGCCCCACCCAGTCAGGCCACGCCCCACCCAGTCAGGCCACGCCCCACGATCCACTCACTCTTCACAGGGAATCTTCTCTGCCAGGCCAAAGTCGCCCACCACTGCCGTGTATCCGGTCTCATCCGTCTTGATCAGGCAGTTCTGTAAGGAATGCGGTCACAGGATGGTCAGGCTTACCCGCCGAGCGCGAACCCGGCCCTGCTGCGTTCAGGCACCTTGGAGGTGAGGTCTCGGTGGAAGATGCCTTTGGAGTGCAGGTAGGCCAGGCCCAGGGCCACATCCCTGGCCAGCTTCACGCGCACCCCCCAGCTCAGCTGCTTGTTGCTGTCCAGAAGCTGCTCCAGGTTCCCCCCGTTGATGTACTGAAATGAAATGTCCACCCTTCTATGGTCAGAGGAACCAGCACACAGATTTTTCACCCCGGCCAGGAAACCCTCCCAGCTACAATCACAGACCATGATCCTCAAACCTCAACACACAGGCTATGCTTGCTGCCAGCTCCTCTACGTGGCCCAGATCAAGCCCTGAGAAGCAGCTTTCCCTGCTCCAGCTCCTGTTGGTGTAGTGGCGCCCCCTTCTGCCAATGCTCACAAAACAGCATTCCCAGACTCAGGAGAGGATTACATCATCTCTGTCTGGCATTCTCCGGCCACCCTGCTGCAGGCACCATCTGCCACCTGGCCTTCTGGAGACTGAGAGCATCCCAGACAAAATCCCGGGCCAATCCTTCTCAGGGCTGCGGGGGATTGAGCCAATCAGACAGCTGGAGGTTTAAGCCCAAAGCCACGCCCATTCTGCCACCCTCATTCATACTCATTCATCTCCACAGCGCTGGACACACGCGGAATCATTCACATCATGTGTAATGACATCCAGGAAACCAAACCTTGCAAGCATCTGAGACACGTAAATGTTAATACTGCGGCATTTGAAATGGGCCCCATTCAAACAGGGAAGGAAGGAGGAAGAGCCGGGGGGATAGAGAAATGGATGAAGGAAGAGATGCAGGGAGGGAGGGATAGTGAACAAGCAGCCCTCAGAGGATTCACAAACTTAAGAACGGCCATCCTGGCTTTCATTTGGAAAGTGAGAGGCTGATGTCACACGTCACAGTTGGGGGTGTCCTGATGCCCCCCTGCATAACCGAAATAGAGCACAGGCCATGAAGCCCCACCCCACCCTTACCTCGGTCAGAGCGTGGAGCTGCCCCTCCTGAACACAGACACCCATGAACCTGAGGGAGAAACAGGAAACATATAGTGGACAGAGAGCAGCGTTGTCTCGCGCGGCAAATTATACAGTTTGGCTCTTCTTGGCACTTCTGACACTGCTGTTTGGCCCCAGCTTTACACAATGGACATCCAGGCCTGAGCAGTCTGCCTGCAGCTTCCCACGGGGACAACAAAGTGGGTGTGCTCCCTACTACTGGCCAGCAGGGGGCAGGCTTCTATAGTGGTGCTTCTGACCTCAGTATGTTGGGGTGAGATAGCCGGTTCATCAGCTGCACCTCCCTCAGCATATTGGCCCTGTTGCTGCTCATCGTGTTCATCTTCAGCGCCATCACCTGGTCAGAAGTCCGGNATAGCCGGTTCATCAGCTGCACCTCCCTCAGCATATTGGCCCTGTTGCTGCTCATCGTGTTCATCTTCAGCGCCATCACCTGGTCAGAAGTCCGGTGTCGCACCTGCAACACAGAATCAGCCGTAGGCTCAAGGGAGAGGTCTGGTCCCATGGACCCTGGGAACTGGCCGTGGGCTCGGTGGGGACACATGAAAATGTCTCTTATGCGTTGATCCAAAAAGGACCTGATGAAATACAACAAAGCCCCCTGCTGGCATTCGAACCAACAACCACCTCAGAACTAGTGCTGTCAAAAGTATGGAAAGTATCAATTCTATCACATACAAAACGGTTTCGATACTCATTTTTCATGGTACTGATTCTACAGCCTGCATTTCCAGTCCGCTCTGACCACTAAGGCTCACAGACTACCAATGTACATGCCTGTACCTGAGTGCAGTGTCATGTACAAGGTGTTACCAAGATGACTAGATCAGAAGCGACACAGCTTTCACCATCAGAGTTTAAATCGATAATAGTGCCGCCGGCTTGGTGACTGGAAATACTTGGCTTTGTGGCGAATGAAGGCGGTAAGCCACAGGACACACACAAGCCTGTGTATCATCACACAATACTGACAAAGGAGACAAATACCACAACTTTAGCTAAACATTGAAAGGTCCGGTACATGTCACAGTACTTGAGAGATAGGGATCTTATTTCGGAATTAATTAAATATTTATCTGCCTGTTACGGTTGAAGTAGAGATGTGACACGCATTTTTTTTTTGGGAAATAAAGAAAATGTAGTCCATTATACACTTACACATTGTGACAGCGGTCTGCAGATATTTTTACCTGTGGCTCCTGTTGGATTCCACATGATCTCGAGGTTGTGTTGATTAGTGTTCATCATTTGGATATAAACTTTTAGAGTCGTGCAATTGTTAGAAATGTTTTTACTTTAAGACACAAAATACAAAGGCACTAAATAGTAATGTACACTCACCTAAAGGATTATTAGGAACACCATACTAATACGGTGTTTGACCCCCTTTCACCTTCAGAACTGCCTTAATTCTACGTGGCATTGATTCAACAAGGTGCTGAATCAGTATTCTTTAGAAATGTTGGCCCATATTGATAGGATAGCATCTTGCAGTTGATGTAGATTTATGGGATGCACATCCCAAAGATGCTCTATTGGGTTGAGATCT